TACGGAGCACCAGAATGTCGATGCTGCCGAGGTTGATATGATTGTGGGGTCACTGGCTGGTCCCCTCGTTGCTGGTGGTGGCTTCTGTGCTGGTTCAGAGGAGATTGTTCACCACCAGCGTATTTCGGCCGCTGCTTATACATTCTCCGCTGCGCTTCCCGCTCTGCTCTCGACTACCGCCAGTGCCACTATCAACATCCTCCAGAACAACCCCGAGACAGTGTCACAACTTCGGGAACTCACTAAGGCCATGCGGGCCCAGTTGGATCCTCGGAGTGACTGGGTTTACTGCACCAGCTCGCCTGAGAATCCTATCCTGATCTTGGTCATCAAGCCGGAGGTTGTGGCTGCTAAGCGGCTGACGCCAGACGACCAGCAGTTCTTGCTTCAGGATGCCGTCGATGAGGTATGTATTACACTTTCTTCCATTGTAACCCTCTTCGAGTCCATTTCTAATTCTCTCGCAGTCTCTCGCCAGCGGCGTTCTAATCACGCGGTTGAAGACCCTCGAGGACAACTTCGAGCCCAAGCAGGTTGTCCCGCCAGCCCTGAAAGTGTGCGTCACTACCGGTCTCACCAAGAAAGAGATTGAAAAGGCAGGAACGATCATTCGACATGCCATTACCAAGGTGATGAGCAAGAGAAAGTAATTTCTTCCCTTGCCTCTTAGCTTCTGGTCCTGACCAGATATCCGATGACCGCTCACGCCCACTATGACTTCGGCATCTATCGATTTTCTATTCTCAGTCGACCTACGCCCTAATGCCCCTTCAATACTTGTATTGTTACCTTGTCGATATACATTCTTATTGCATGCCTTGCACAGGCCCCCAATTTTCTCTCTTCATTGGCGGTATGATTCTTTACCTGTGCATGGTTTTAATTTGTTTAATACTATCCTTCTACCCTTGGCTCTTTGCTTCAAGGATGTGTCAATTTTTGCATACATTATTCAGACCCACAAACCTTTTTCCTTCCATGTAACGGACGCTATTGCTTCATGTTCCTATTCTTTGCTCTTTTTCTTCTCTCTCGCTATAGTAGTATCCTCAGCCACGAGTTTGAAGTGTTAACGAAGTCCAGAAGTCAAAATGCCCCTTCGCCGTGCATTTGATGGTCCTCGACGTCACCAGCAAACCAGAAGCCCAATATCTCCGGGCCAGACACCAACCCTAGAACCGCCTCTTCGTCCGGCCCCTTCCAATGTCTCAATAATATCAGATAACTTCTCCCCAGCGTTCTACGTCACATTCCTACCGAATCCCTCTGTGTCTCCGAGCGACCCTTCAGAATGCGCCCCGCATTCCATCTAATACATCATCAAGAGCATTCCCGATTCATCTCCAACTTCGAGATCTTGTATGGTGTCCCGAAACCAAGATCTCTTTGCCGAGTAAACCGGATGCCAAAGGGGGCCAACCAAACCAATGGGCATGTTTGAAAGCTGGAAACTCCTTGATTCCATTCCACATGTCCTCCCCAGATCGAGGTGCTATGCTTGGCTATCCTTGTCTTTACATGCTCTGCTAATACAGGCCACATAGGTGGAATTCCATGCTTGAGTCAGTTAGAATGGTTATAACGTGTCCGATCGGCACCATATGCGTGGGTTTCCTTTTCTAGATGGTTGCAAATTTACTCAATGTTATGATCGCCGTCGACTAAGTTCAGACACTAAGTTCAGACACTAAGTTCAGATCGCTTCGCTCAAGGGATTTACAGATCAGCTTCCCTAGGAAGAACTCAGCTGGAAATGAAGCGCCTTACTCAGGCGCTTGTCGGCCTGCTACTTGCATGTGGTGTTTGCACCGAAGCTGGGGGTAAGAGCATCATTGTTCGATGTTGGAAATAAGCTCACGCTTATATCGGAATTTGCTGATTGGCGATAGTCGAGAAACAATCCCGTGGAGATGTCGCCCAACCACCTTTTACCAAAGAGGTAGTCGTCTGGGTCAATGAAAAGGGAGAGCGTATCAGCACGGAAACTCACTACGTTCAGGCCTTGACCCCTGCACTACACGAGAATGTTAGTAGATAGAACTGTCCCCGAAGAAGAGAACAGATGTTGGTCCCTCGTCAAAAAGCCAGCCCTGACTCACCCATCAAAGCAACCCCCAATATCAACCCCGGATACAGATGGCTCTGGTGCAGCACCGCCACATGCACTATCCAAGAACAACATGAACGACCAGTCTGTCCCAGTCAAGCGCAAACCCAAGGGGCTACAACACGCACACGCCCACCCCAAACCGCCCGTTTCTCATCCACATCCTCACCAACACCAGCATCCGCATCCGCACCCGCACGCCCACTTCGGCATCTCCTACTCCCCTTACAAAGCAGACCACACCTGCAAGAACCAGGAAGAAGTAAACCAAGACCTAGACCGAATCTCCGAATACTCCTTCGTCCGCATCTACGGCACAGACTGCGACCAAACAAAAACCGTAACCAACGCCGCACGGCGACACAACATGCGCGTTTTCGCCGGCGTCTATGACCTAACCGGTTTCCCAGGAAGCCTCAGCGCCTTCGGCGACGCAGTAACCGGTCCCGACGGCAAAAAGGACTGGTCAATCTTCCACACAATCGCCGTCGGCAACGAGCTCGTAAACGGCGGCACCAACTCCCCCGGCGACGTCATAAGCGCCGTGCAAAAAGCACGCTCCGTGCTCCGCGCCCAGGGCTACAAAGGCCCCGTCGTCACAGTCGATACCTTCTCCGTCCTACTCGACCACCCGGAACTATGCCATGTCTCCGACTACTGCGCCGCGAACTGCCATGCTTTCTTCGATGCTACTCAGCGGCCGGATGGTGCCGGCGCGTATGCGCTCGAGCAGGCGCGTAGTATCTCCGCGAGAGCGGGTGGCAAGCGTACTATTATTACGGAGTCTGGGTGGCCGCATGCTGGGGATGCGAATGGGATTGCTGTTCCTTCGGCGAAAAATCAGGAGGCGGCCATTGCGAGTTTGAGGAAGAGTTTTGATCACCGGAGGGAGGATTTGGTGCTTTTCACCGCTTTTGATGATTTGTGGAAGGAGGATAATATGTTTACCTTCAATGCGGAAAAGTTTTGGGGCATTCATAGGGGTTTGTAGAGAGCGAGAGCTCTGATACTTTTCTTTGGTTTCTTTTCTCCATTCAAGCTAGGGCTCTAGAGCTGGCTTTTGCTCTTTGTTTTCGATACATTGTCCGTGTACATACTTTACTCTTGGAATAGCATCACAGTCGAATGAGGAAGAATGATGTTAACATGGGGCTTGATATAGTTTCGCTAATGCTATTATTATACAGGATAATCTAGACTCTTTACATTAGAACCGCCCGTGCAAGATCTCACAAGAGCTCAGCGGGGGAAAGTCCGAGTAGCCTGACGTTGCCACGCCTCTTCCTCTGCACGCGCCTCGATCTGATCCATCCACCCATCCTTACGGGTGAGCTCATGGAAGGCCTCCTTGTTAGACGGCAAATCCCAGAAGAAAGACTTCTCACTCGGGGATTTCCGATGGGCCTCCAGGTCCCGGGCTTGGCGAATGATAAGTCCGGTCAGCATGCCGCGGGACTTGCTACTAGGGTTGATGCCCAGCTGGTTCATCTCGCGCAGGATTGATACCACAGCGGGAAGATCCTTGCATACTCGCCAATGGTAGTGGATCAATTCATCGTACAAGCCAGATGAAGCACCGAGGAAAGCAGAGACACGGCCGTACTCTTTGATCGTCGAGCGGAATTGGGGGATGAGCGGGGAGTCGCGGAAGTGAGTGTTCAGCAGGCGGAAGGCGATCAGGAGGGTACTCGGGTATAGAGATACCACGACGGGGGCGACTGGGACGACGGCTGGGACTCGGAGGCGTCCTGATGGCCGATTGGCTGGTTCGGGCTGGTCTGTTGTGCTCAAATTCTCTGGGTCTGAGGCCTCCTCGAGAGATTTCTCGTCCAGGTGGCGCAGCATGGAAAATATGCGCTGTTTGCATACCTCCCACACACCCAAGTCGCCCTTGCCATCCTCGATGGCTTGGAGAAGTGCGAATTCGATGTGCTCTGATTCCGCTTTGACGACGATCTCAATCGCCCTCCGCAGGCTGACTGTGACTTCGGCAGCGCTGGCCGTGGCGGGCTCGGAGTAGCCCAGATCACGGAGATAGATTCGCTTCGGACCTTGGTTCTCCGCTGGGACTTGTTCTTCCGTTTTTGGCTTCTCCGGTCTTCGATAAGAAGAATAGTCGTCCTTCGGTTGTTGTTTAGCTTTTGATGCCGCCTTCTTTTGCCTTGGGTCTTTTAGCAGATTGTCAAACATCGACACGAGCTCGGCCATTTCCGCCTTCTTCTCCTCGCTCATTGGTTTCAATGAGCTCGCCTCGGTAGTTTCCCCATCGTGTTTGAATCCAAGCTGCTCTAGCAGTCCTCCAAATACCAGTTTCTCCTGGGTTGTGATCTTCGGTGCTGTCTTCGTTGGCTTCTTCACGACAGATGGTCTGAGGCTAGGCCTTTCAGATACAGATGCTGCTCGTTTCTGTAGGTAGCTTCGTCGTGGTTTCGGAGCCGCCTCGCTCGTTGAGCTGGAGGTAATTGACTGATGAGAAGTATTCTGACTTGTGCTATCCTCTGCTAATGATTGGTTCTCCGTCGCATCATTGACCTCAGTATTGTTCTGGGTGGAAAAAGAGCGCGGAAAACGGCGATTGAATTGTCTTCGGGTTGCGGACGAGAGTGGCATAAGCGTTCTAGTGTGGTATAGGAAAGGAGCCGTAGAAGTGCTTCTTGAGAGGAAGCATAGCTGGGTGATATTTGTCGCCATCGCTGAGTCGTTAGGTCTGCACTTGCGCAGCCTTGTTCGTACACTTCTCAGAGTAAATCCAACCTGGAGCAAATCTTACTCTCTTCTCTTCCACCTGGCCAAACCTTGCAAATTCTATCCAAAAGGGAGAAACAACAAGAAGATTACTTTCTCTTTTTTTACAAGCACGGACTTATCGGCGATCAACTTCCCGCAAAGTCACATGATGTCGTGTAACCGGCCCACGCGTTTCGAGGACGTGCCTCGCACCCCCAAGGCGCAAACTGAATACGAACCAAGTACGCCCGAAAACACCGAGACCAACATGCCAGGGAAAAGTGAGTTGTCAGAATTTGAACAGCAGCGCTTGGCAAACATTGCCGAGCGTGATGCCCTGTTGAAAAAACTCACGCTTGAATCGCAATCGTCGGGGTTATTCGCAAGCCCCAAGACCCCCGGCAGCAATGGCGGCAAACCGAAAAAGCGCCCGACTCCTAAAGTGAAAACTGAGGAAGATACCATAACTCCCCGGCGGACATCCTCGCGCCTCAAGGGCATTGCGGCCGAAAGTGAAGTAGCGAAGCGCAAGGCCGACGAGGAGTATGAGGCGATGCGCGAAGCGGATCGAATCAAGAGGATGCGCCGGACAGACTCGTTCAGTCAGGCAGACATGTTCGTTTCGGGCCAAAAGCTTGATGCCGATAGCCTGATCGGCGTGGATGTCATCACCAAAGGTGTTGCGAAGCCCTATGAAAGGACCTTCGGAGACGACGAAATTGAGAAGACGACGGACAAAGACCTGAAGGCTCTTCGGGAGGAGATGAATGGGCTTCAATTGTGGGAATCTTGGGACCCTCAACGTAATGACTATACTCTCCATGTGGAAGAGCTACCATTCTAACGATTTTTGATCATTACAGGGATCAAGATTACCCCGGAGCGTGTGTACAGCATGGCTTTTCACCCGTCCGAATCCAAACCTCTTATTTTTGCAGGAGACAAGCTGGGCCATCTTGGCATGTTGGATGCTTCTCAGGAAAAACCCTTGGCGGGCGAAGACGACGATGAAGACGATGACCCAGATCCAATCCTCACAACACTCAAGCCACATACCCGGACCATCAGCGCAATGATGGTCAATCCCTCAAAGCCGACACATCTTTATACGGCAAGTTATGACAGTTCGATTCGGTCACTGGATTTGGAAAAAATGGTATCTTCGGAGACCTATGCTCCCGAATCCACCAACATCGACGAGGCTCTTTCCGGAGTAGACATGGCACCTGATGATCCTAACACCTTGTACTGGACTACGCTGCAAGGTGGATTCGGGCGTTATGATACGCGCACGCCTCGGAAAGACAGTAACGTGTCGAACTGGGATCTTTCTGAAAAGAAGATCGGGGGCTTCACATTGTGTCCCTCCCAGCCAAATTACTTCGCAACGGCAAGCCTGGATCGGTTCCTGAGATTATGGGACCTGCGCAAGCTGTCGGCACATGACCCCACTCCGGTAGCTGAGCACGAAAGCCGGCTGTCAGTCTCTCACGCAGCTTTCAATGCTGCTGGGCAGATTGCGACGTCGTCATACGATGACACGTTGAAAATCTACGATGTTGGTGCAAAGGGCCTCTCCTCGTGGAAGCAGGGCCACAAGCTTGGAGAAAAGGACTTTACTCCCGATACAGTGGTCCGCCACAACTGCCAGACCGGCCGCTGGGTTACAATGTATGATTATTCCTTTCTTTTCTTACTTTGCGTCCCTTTTGTTTTTGCCGAAGTATCAAGCCCTAACTTTAATCTTATAGTCTCCGCCCTCAATGGCAGCTGAACCCACAGTCTCCCATCCAGCGGTTCTGCATTGGCAATATGAACCGTTTTGTCGATGTGTACAGCAGCAGTGGAGATCAGCTCGCGCAGCTTGGTGGCGATGGAATCACCGCTGTTCCTGCTGTGGCTGTGTTCCATCGTAGCAAGAACTGGGTTGCTGGTGGCACTGCTAGTGGCAAGCTCTGTTTATGGAAGTGATATGTATTCTTCGCTGATCTCTTTACTGGTGTTTCTTCAAGCACGTGGCTGTGCGGCTTGTTTGCTAATTGTTTTGATCTTCTTTTGAAGACCCGGTGTTGTAGGAGGGGTGTGGTCTAGGTTTCTGTTTATCCCCTGCTGTCTTGTTATGACTAAAGGTGATATTTGTTCTGATCCGATGTAAAGAGGTATTCAGTGAACAGCATTCGATGTTGCTATTTCTATCTAATAACGGAGTTACAAGCACTGCAATTGTGTATCAGAGCTTTCCAAAACGAAAACACCAATCCATTCCATCTATTGGAAGAATATAAAAAGAGTAAAAGTATTTACACGATGGCCACCATCTCCGAAGGGAATCCAAACACATAAAAGACCCAAATGATTCCTCAGAACGACCAAAAAAGAGAAAAACACAAGAGCCTCAGCCGAGTTCAAAAATCAGATCGTGTTCTTTTTTTTCTTTCCCAAAATCCAGATCCCTTATTTTTCTGCTCTCTTTTGTTTTTATCTTAAGAGCTGGGCTTGGGGAGATGTGTATAAGGGAGGGCGGGACCATGAAACACACAATCAAAAGAAGGAATGGGTATCAACACCATGACACATGCTTTAGAGAAGAACACAGACATATAGATGACCAAGAAGAACAGAACTCGAGGAGGCAAGATGGAAAAGGGAGTAGATAGAGAGAGGGAAGGGGAGAAGAGAGGAACATTGAAATCATGAGCACATGGAAAGAGGTAGGCGAGGAAGAACAAAATCAAAAGTGTGTAAGGATAAAAGGAGATTGCATGGGCAGACATTGGTGCATTAAGATTCATTGCGTAGATCCTCGTGCGAGTGATTTTGATTCTGGTCACGGTCCTTGGCCTTGCGTCGGGAGGGAGCAGGAACAAAGTCAAAGAAACGGTACTTGCTCGATGAAGACTCTTTCGTGACGCTGGCCCTGCGTGCCTTGGAGGACTCGGAGTACTCGAGCGAGTAGGTCGAGGAGTTCTTCGAGCTTCCGGTGCTGTCGCGTGGGTCAGACCAACGTGGGATAGAGAATGGAATGCGGCTTTGGTCCCAGGTCGCCGATGACGAGCTTGGGGGCGTGTCGTCCTCGGCGTCGGGGACGTGGTCAGTGGACCGGCGGGGAAGTGCAGGACGCGTAGCAAAGTAGCCAATCGAATTGCGATGGCTGCTTGGGGCCGGTGCAGTACCAGTTGACGTTTCTGGCGCCGGGGTACTGGGTTTGCTTGAGCTTTCATCGTAGAAGGTTACTGGTCGTTCCATCGAATCCACCAGTGCTTCCCATTTGATCTCAAGGTTCCCACTTGGCCGCTCTGCTTGCTCTGCTCGTCTGAGACACTCTTCAGTGCGTGCCCGCAGGCGAAGGGCTTCTTTCTGGAACTTAGAAAGGTTGACGTCCAGCTCGGTCAATTCGTTGAGTCGTTCGGGGGAGACATCAAGCCAGACACGTATCAAGTTCGCGAAGGAGCGAGCATAGTCAATAAGGAATGGAAGGCTAGGGAATCCCTCGCGCGATGTGGGCGGCAACCGCCCAAGGATTTGGATGGGGGTGGTGTAGGAGGGTGTGACCATAGGGACTGGTCGATCGGCGGGGATCGCACAAACCGAATCGACAAAGTCTTTGAATTCCGAGCGATGGGCGACAAGGAATTTGTTCATGGGTTCCATCCAAGGTTCTTTATTGCCGAATGTTGTCATATTGGCCAGACCCTGCAGAGCTTTGGCAATGAGGGTCAAAGTTCGCTGTGCACGAGGACGAGGGTGATCTGGAGGTGGTTAGCAAAAGGAAAAAGAACCAAGGTATAGGCGTAGTTCCATACCTTTCAAGAGGCCGAAAAGCTTCGGGTTCAAAATAGCCGGGCAGAAAAAGCGTAGAAACAGGAATCCAGAGACACTACTGTACGTCACAGACCGGAGGAAGTCACCGTAACGATCGTCTGCACACGCCCTAACATGCCGGAAGATGCGTCGCAGTTCTGGGGGACACCTCGATGCAGATCCCGCAATGGATTTCCACACGCTTGTGGTGAGAGCTGTAAGGTTTCGCCAGTTGCGATCAAGATCCTCGTGACGTGGAACTCGAGATGGATCGACTTCGCATTCCGGATCGCTCTCATCAATATCACGTAGTCGTTCCGCGATAGTATCCTCCAAATACTGCTTGCCCAGACGACGCATGTGAAGATCGAGGGCCTTGGTTAGAAGCGAGTTTCCACGGAACAAGAGGTTAGCCTCCACAGTTGCTGTCCTGCCCATGTCCCTGACGAGGACCTCCCGCTCTTGGCTAGCCTCCTGTGAGTTGTTCGAATGAATCCTCGTCGTATATCTCAGCCGGTTGGTGGTGGATTCTTTGTGAACCCCATCGATTTCATCTTCAACCAAGGCCGAGATCCATTCCACCGTTGACCCCGAGACCTGGTAAATGTTCAGAAGCATCTCGGCCAGGTGATTTAGCTCCGATGACATCAGTTGTGCCATGTTGATTGTCAGGCCATTAGTGAAGGAGTGGAGAAGTTCCGACATCGCTGAGTACTCGTCAGACATCAAGACAACGGTTTCCTCCATCCGGGCTCTCATGAACATCTCGCCAATTGCCTGGTCTTGGTTATCCAGGATAGGCCACCACTTTTCGATATCCACGCCGGCCTCCAATTCTTCAAGTCGCAGGTCTACCCGTCCGAAGATGATATCATTTGCAGAAATTTCGATCTCATCCAGCATGTTCATGGCACTCACGTCTTGGTTGGGTGCGTAATTTCCGTTGGCGAAAAGTGTCCAGTCCCTCTGTGTCGGGTTAAGAGTTTTGACCAGGATAGAGGCCTGGGATAGGACTGGCGGCAGATCAGTGAAGAGGAAATCTTCTCGCCAAAAAGGATTCATGGTGCGATATTTGACAGCAGTCTTGCCACGAATTTCCCCATCTAGGAGGACCTCTGTGTAATAGTCGCTGACCTTCGAGGTTGGAACAGGCAGGCCATGTGATCTTGATGCCTTTCGGCTTCGGGGAGTGTCCTCCTCTTTTGCGCGAAACAGCTTCGCCTCCACGATTTTCAAGCTCAAGAATCGTTCAATCCGGAACATGTCTTTGGTCAGGGGCGGGTCGGTGGCCTCGGCTTCTGGTGTTTTGTCGGGATCCTCTCCCTGCGACACAGGACCATAAAGCTCTGGGATTGTGAATGCGCGGAGAAGCACAAACCACACCTCAAAGAGAACACGACTTTCAAGAGCGAGGTATATAGGCCGCAGTTTGGAATCGGGTACTGGGTGTGCCGTATATTGAGGGTAGATAGCAATGCAAAACTCATCATCCAACACCGAGGAGTCCAGCTGCTGAATAGCGCAGCGTGATAATTGAGATAACTGCACACATGCTAGGAGAGCTACGTCGGATTCGGTGTAGAGCTTGAAAAAGCCGTTTTCTTGTAGCGTGCAGCTCACCTTCTGCCATGAGGAAGAAAGAGCCCTTGACTGTCTGTACGTGGACACGCGGCGTCCGGACACCGGCATTGCACCGGAGGCAGACGGCTTGTCCCATAGAAGCATCTTGCCAACTTTGATGATAGTTGCATCCTTTTGTGCTGCGCTTTCCGAGTTGCGTCGACGTTCGGGGATCCGTCGGTCTCCAATCACAACTTCTTGAGGCTTTGTCATCTTGTTCTGAACACCTTTGGGCCGAATTGGTTGCCAACAAAGTAGAGCTGCAAGCCAGGAATCGAAGGTCTCGTTCACGTGAGGTCGCAGTTGTATCCCAAGCCCGGAGGTAAATGTGTGAACGCTCAGATAGGTGCATTGGAGCTCAGAGTCCCACAATGTCCGAACTCGACAACCACGTAGATCGGGAATTAACGTTTTGGCCAATGCCGGCTCTCCCTTGGCTTGGTAAATGAGACTTCCAGTAGCGACATTGATAGCGCAGTATCCGGATGTCCAGGAAGTGGTCGAGGCTGTTCGAAAGGATAGGATTCCATGCATTCTACCACATGTAGTCTTCATCAGCTGCAGGATCTTTGTGGCTTCCGCACCCGAGAGGGGTGAAGGAAACGAATCTTGACTTTGTGCTCCACCGGCGACTACACCGGCAGCTTTGCTCAGTCGATGGCGAGGGACCGTCTGGCTGCTGTATTTTGGGGTCTCAATTGACGGAAAACCGATGGAAGTTGAGGGATCTTCAGGCAATTTTTGTTGAGAAGGACTGGCCGTGTTAATTGACCCGACCCGCGTTCGAGCTTTGAAGGTGCTGGGGGTGGTGTCGTTACGTTGCTCCTCAGCCGCCGTTGTCCGCGATCGCGCCCGTTGACTCCTTGCTTCCACCGGAGGATCTTCGTCGCCTGCCCCAGATGAGTGTTTGTTGAAATCCCGACGACGTTCAGGTTCGTTCGGCCGTGAGCGTACGGTATTTCGAGGTGAAGACGAAGCACCGCCCGTGAGGTGCTCCGGTTCGGATAAGGGGGAATGGTTGGCGGGGGAGTGCGACTCTGGCGTCACAGTTCGAATGCTAGTTTCTCGGAAACTGTCGGGATAGACCATACCATGCCGGTCCCTAGATGAAGACTTCTTGCTTGCACGCCGTTCCACTGGGCGGCTGTATAATGCTTGGTGCATCGAGCTCCGCTTGAACGCGTTCGGATTCTCAGGGTCCATCTCGTTCTGTTATAGACAGCCCCTTCGACAAGCGACGGACACAAATCGAAAATGAAACTTGTCAATATATGGGAAAAGGAGAGGCAGGTTCACTCCCTAATCGCGCCCAACACAACCTCCCTCAAAACAATCGGTGAAAGAAGACCTTGGTGGCACCCGACGTATGCGGCACAGCTGCGCTTGTATAATTGGGGTCGCTTTTGTCCAGGAAATTGTTATGAGACCACATGGAGTCCGGTGAGAGGTTGGGTATCGGGGTCGCACATTCGGTCGAGGCGCCGGGAGAGGGGAAGTAATGGGAGACCAGGACAAAGGAGGCGCGGGTCACCGTCGTTTGTCAGAGAGAT